AAATCAGTTGGATTCCTTTACACCAACAAAGAGAACTTTGAAGACGAAATTACCAAATCAATAACATTTACAATAGCCCCCAAGATAAAATACTTAGGAATAAATCTAACCAGAGACATAAAAGAACTATACAGAGAAAACTACAAGACACTACTACAAAAAACTAGAAGAGAACTTCATAAGTGGAAAAACATATCTTGCTCATGGATAGTAGACAACACAGTGAAAATGTCAGTTTTACCCAAAGCGATCTACAGATACGATGCAATCCCGATCCAAATTCCATCTACATTTTTTAATGAGATAGAGAAACAAATCACCAACTTCGTATGGAAACAGAAGAGGCCCTGAATAAATAAAGCATTACTCAAGAAGAACAAAGTCAGAGGCCTCACACTACCTGATTTTAGAACCTACTATACTGTCACAGTAGTCAAAACAGCCTGGTATTGCTACAACAACAGATACATAGACCAATGGAATGGAGTTGAGAATCCAGGCATAACTTCATCCACCAATGAGCAGCTGATATTTGACAAAGGTCCAAAGTCCGTTAATGGGGAAAATATAGTCTCTTTAACAAATAGTGCTGACATAACTGGATATCCACGTGCAAAGAACTGAAACAAGACCCATACCTCACACTGTGCACAAAAAACCAACTCAAACTGGATCAAAGACTTAAATATAAAATCAAAAACGATAAAGATCATGGAAAAAAAAATAGGGACAATGCTAGGAGCCCTAATACATGGCATAAACACAATATGAGCCATAAGTAACAATGCACAAAGCACCAGAAGACAGACTAGATAAAAGGGAGCTCCTAAAAATCAAACACTTATGTTCATCAAAAGACTTCCCCAAAAGAGTAAAAAGACAACCTACAGACTGGGAAAAAATTTTTGGCTGTGAGAAATCCGATCAGGGTCTAATCTCTAAAATCTACAAGATACTGCAAAACCTCAACAACAAAAAAACAAATAACCCAGTCAAAAAATGGACAAAGGATACGAACAGGCACTTTACCAAACAAGATACTCAGGTAGCTAACAGACACATGAAGAAATGCTCACGATCATTAGCCATTAGAGAAATGCAGATCAAAACTATAATGAGGTATCATCTCACCCCAATAAGGTTAGCACTAATACAAAAACACAAAATAATAAATGCTGGAGACGTTGTGGAGAGACTGGAACACTTACACACTGTTGGTGGGAATATAAAATGGTACAACCACTTTGTAAATGGATTTGGTGCTTCCTTAAAAAGCTAGAAACAGAAGTACCACACCATTGAGCTATCCCGCTTCTTGGAACATATCCTAGAGAAATGAGAGCCGTCACATGAATAGATATACGCACATCCATGTTCATTGCAGCACTGTTCGCAATAGCAAAAAGATGGAAACAATCTACATGCCTATCAACGGACGAATGGATAAACAAATTATGGTATATCCACACAATGGAATACTACACAACGATAAAGAACAAGCATGAAGCCATGAAACATCATATAACATGGAAGAAGGTGGAACTTATTATGCTGAGTGAATTTAGTCAGTCACAGAAGAACAAATACTGTATAAGACCACTATTATAAGAACTTACGAAAAGATTTAAACACAGAAGAAAACATCATTTGATGGTTACGAGGGTGGGGAGGGAGGGTGAGGGTTGTTTACTAACTAGACAGTAGATAAGAATCATCTTAGGCAAAGGGAAGGACAGCACACACTACAGGGGAAGTCAGCACAACTAGACTAAACCAAAACTAAGAAGTTTCCTGAATACAAACACTTTGAGAGACACAGTAGCAGGGGCGGGGGTCTGGGGACCATGCTTTCAGGGGACATCTAGGTCAACTGGCATAACAAAGCTTTTAAGAAAATGTTCTGCATCCTACTTTGGTGAGTGGAGTCTGGGGTCTTAAAAGCTTCAAGTGGCCATCTAAGATGCATCAATTGATCCCAACCACCTGGAGTAAAGGAGAATGAAGACACAAGGAAGTAGTAGCCCAAGAGACAGAAAGGGCCACATAAACCAGAGACTTCATCAGCCTGAGACCAGAAGAACTAGATGGTGCCCGGCTACCACCAATGACCACCCTGACAGGTAACACAACAGACAGTCCCCAATGGAGCAGCAGAAAGATGGGGTGCAGAACTCAAATTCTAATAAGAAGACCAGACTTAATTGTGTGACTGAGACTGGAGGAACCCTGAAAGCATGGCTGGATTCTCTATTGGCCCAGAATTAAAACAATTTCCAAGGCCAACTCTTCAGACAGGGATTGGACTGGTCTGTGGGACATAAAGTGATACTCGTGAGGAGTCTGCCTCTTAACTCAGGTAGATACATGAGACCAAAGGGGAAGCTTCTGTCCGGAGGTGAGATGGGAAGGCAGAGAGGGTTAGGAGCTGGTTGAATGAACATGGGGAATCAGGGATGGAAAGGAGGAGTGTGCTGTCACAGAATGGGGTGAGCAATTAGGCTTGCATAACAATGTATGTATAAAATTTTGTATGGGAGACTAACTTGAAACATAAACTTCATTCAAACTACAATAACACAAAAAAATAATAAATAGTAAACAAAGAATTTTGTTCTGCATTTTTCTCCAGCTCTGTCCAGGACCCTCTATTGGGATCCCTGTCAGAGCAGTTGGTGGTGGTAGCTGGGCACCATCTAGTTGTGTTGGACTCAGTCTGGTGGAGGCTGTAGTACTTGTGGTCCATTAGTCATCAGGACTAATCTTTCCTTTGAACACACACACTTTTGTGTGATCCAAAAGATCTCAAAATTAAAACATGTAACTGTATAAATTAGTTTTGAAGGCAGTATTCCTTTAAGTAAAGCAAAGAACAGTTTAAATTGATCATTTACATTGGGGAAAGTGATAGTCACTCATGACAGAATTGGACTGGCTCCAAGTCCTACCTCTGCCACTGAGATATAGATGGCTCCTCTATCTTACCATCATATAGAGCCTTTCCATAGTGGCCAGCATGGAAAGTGAGAGAATCTAGATCATCAGTGTTTCCCAATGTGTGTCTCTCTAAAGAACGTCAATTAAGCATTTACATCCTACCTCTCTGTCCACTCCTTCTCAGTCTCTTGTGCTATTTTCTCTTCTTCTTCCTCTACCTCTTAATATTGGAACACCCCCATCTCAAGGCTCTGTCTTTGTACCCCCTTTTTTTCTAGGTACACCTACTCCCTTGGTGATCTCATCTGGTTTCATAGTTTTAAATACCATCTATATGTTGATGTCTACCAGAAAACCAGAACAAAATATCCATCTGCTGACTGGAAACCTCCAACTGGATGTGTACCAGATATCTTGGATTTAACATGCCCAAATCTGAGCTCATGATATTTCCTCCCAAGCCAGCACCTCTCAAATTTTCCCCATCTCAATAAACAACAACTCTACCCTGCCATTTGCTCAAGCCAGAAATGGAGTAATTGTTTACTCCTTTTTTCATACTCACATATGTTGTTAGCAAATGATATGGACTCTATCTTCAAATATATTCAGACCACTGATTAATTCTTACCATCTCCACTGCTACCAGCACGGACCAAGCTACCATCATCTCTTGCTTAGATTATTACAAAAGTCTCCCAACTAGTCTGTTTCTTGTTTCTTCCTTTTATTAAAACTGAAGTGATCTTGTAAAAACGTAAGTGCCACTCCCATGCTCAAAACCCTCCCTTCTTATTCAGAATAAATGCCAAATTCCTCACAATTACCTCCAAGGCCCTAAATAATCTGGTCCTCATTTCCTTTGTACCCTTATCCTCTTCGACATCCCTCTCCATCTGCTCCAGTTACACGAGCTCCCTCACCAGTCTTTGAACACCAGCAACCCTCCCACCTCAGGACCTCTATACTGCCTTTTTCCTCTGCCTGGAATGAACTTCCCCACACATTCACGTGAGTCATTCGCTCACCTCTTCAATCTTTACTCAGAGATCACCTTCTCAACAGCGTCCATCTTTAGAATCTGCATGCAAACTCCCACAACACTCCTACTCTCCCTCCGTGGTCAAGTTCATACCCACTGCTCTCTAATATGCTACTTATTTTACATGATTTATCGGGACTCACTGTCATCTCCCTCCCAAAAATGTAAGCTCCGTGGAGTCAGGGAATTTTGTCTGCTTTGCTCATTAATTTAATTCAGTAAATGTATTTAATTTAATAAATATCATTTATTGAGTAGGAACTCAATAAATACTTGTTGAATAACAGAATGAATAAATAATTTCAACCAGTACAGCACCTGATTAAGAGTACAGGATTTGTAGCCTTACAGTCATGTTTAAAATCCTACATCACATGGACTTTGTCAAGCTAATAAAAGCCCCTGTGGTCCATTTTCCTCACATGGCCAATGGAGTAACATTTTAGATTTACTGTGAGACCTAAATGGGTTAATATATGAAAATCCCTTACAAAGAATACATAATAAATACTCAATAAATGATAACTATTTTTATAAAGATTTTTTAGTGAGTGCTTACTGTTGGCTAGATACTATGCACTTTACCTACAGTAATAAACTACTCAACAGCCTTCAGACGAAAATTGTATCATTTTCCTCCTTTCATATAACAGAGGATGACATTAGCTGATGTGCCCAAGGGCACACAGCTAACGAGCTGCAGAGTCGGGCTTATGAGCTGTCCACGGAACTCCAGAGGCCCTGCCTTGTTAGTGCCTTACAGGAAAACTTGAAAGTATGTTACACTCCGAGCTAAATCTGAAGGCCTACAACATAACTTACAATGGGACTCTGAAGCAGAAGTTGTTACTCAAAAAACTGTCATCATATTCACGATGTTACAGAATCATAAACTTTAAGAGTCGGTAGGTATTTTGAGTCATTTCCTCATTTAATTAGGGGGCTGGTCTCTTAGAGGTACTGATTTACCTATGGTGCTCAGATTAAGGATATTCTTCAGCCTCGTGCCTCCCATGAGACTCACCTGACCTTTGGAAAATCCATCAAAGCCATCGTAGACAGCGAGCATTCTGTGGCCATCAGATATCCCCGTTCGTACAGCCGAGCGTACAGCAGCATTCATCCCAGCTGCTGGGGCACCCACGTTTATAATAGCCACGTTACAATTGCTCTGCAATGCAAACAGTAGTGTGTCAGTGGATCCGTGCAGATATTCACGTACATATTTAGTGCACACCAAGAGCACCCCTCACATGGCAAACCCTGGAGCTACGATGGTGAACCAAAAAGACAAAAAGCTTAAGTCTTCAAGAAGCTTACAACTGAGTGCAGATTCCAGAAAATCAGAGTTAATACAATTTCACATGAAGACAAAGACTATGATAAGAAGGGTCAGTTAGAGAGTTCAGATAAAACCTTTCAAAAGATGGCATGTAGCTGAGACCTGAATAAAGACAAGGTGGTGGCTGTGCAAGGGCAAAAGAGTTTGTGCACCAGCCAGAATTGAGGTTTCGCACAGGGAGCAGGTCTGAAAAGAAAAAGGGAGCAGTATGGTCGTGCTGTGCTAACTACTCACCTTCACAATCTGTGAGTCTGGAAGCTTGATGCAAAGCCGCTTATAGGTGTTCAGGTTGCTCTCAAAGTTCCTAAAACAGAAGGAGGTTTTTGAATGAAAGTTTAGAATACTGGACAAACGAGAGGAAACTTGGGTTGGGAGAAGGGGCCACAGAGAGCAACATTTCGCTTAGGAGCAGACAGTCCATGAATGCTCTTTCTGTATCTTGGCTCTGAGAGAAAAACGGAGGACAGAATATCACACACGTTCTGCAGGGACACTCCACAGCTACCTGCTGTACTATGTATTTCTAGTTCTGAAATGGGCTAAGGAAAAAAGACATTATAGTGTGGCTCGTAAGTTTCTTTTTCAGAAGGCTAGCAACACAGTCACCTTGTATTATAATCTCAATTAAGTTCTGAACAACTCTTCACCCTGCCATCCCCCCACTATAAAATACAAATAAGCAAAAAATCTGTTACTCCTTAACTAGCCATCTAGGCCTTCACTCTGCATAAACAATGCCCTACTTATTGTCTTGATTTTTGAACTTTATATATTGAAATAGAATAAGCAAACTTCTAAGCACACTCAAAATGGCCAGGACTGAGGAAGATATGGAGTCCCTGGGTGGTGTAGCAGTTAATGTGCTCAGCAAAGGGTTAACGCGCTCGGCTGCTAACCGAAAGGTTGGAGGTTTGCGTCCACCCAAAAGTGCTTTGAAAGAAAGCTCTGATGATCTACTTCTGAAAAATCAGCCATTGAAAACCCTAGAGAATACAGTTCTACACTGACATGCATGGGGTCACCATGAGTTGACTCAATGGCAACTGGTTACTAGAGGAACGTGTGTTCCTAATAAAATAGTTTTCTTTAAAATAACTCACCTTCCTCTAAGTTGTACGGCCTTTTTAAATTTCCTTTCATCCATTGCCTTTTGCACATCCTGGGTCTTTAAAAAAGTAATGAAGGAAAGACTGTGTTAACGTTTAGTACATCCATGAATGATGAGGTTGGGGAGCAGGGCAGAACTAGCTTAGTCTCTCCATTTCTTGTTCCCCCTGCAGAATTGGACCTGGGCCAGCCTGGCAGCCTAAATATTAGAGAGTCTAGACCAGTACTTGCCAGCTCCATCCAAATGCTTGCAACTGGTGAGGTGAGCCTCTTAGGGATGACAGAGAAGCCGCCACTGACCGCCCAGTGCAAATCTGATGTTAACGGCCTTGTTAAGCATGTCTTAAAATCTAAGGATTTCACTCCATAAGAGCAAAGCCAGCAAATTGATCTCTCAGACAGGGTTCTGAAAAATTGTCGATTTGAGTCTAGTGGGAAAAAAAAGCAAAACTTCACTGGGATTTGGGAGACCTGAATGTGGTCCCTGCCTAGCTCTGCGCCCTGGCCCTGAGTGGGCCACAGGAGGGGCAGGACTGTGCTGGGCAGAGAACTTGGACTTGGAGACAGACACCCAGGTTAGAATCCTGCCTCTGTTCTTTTCCAACTTTAGGGTCTGGGGCAAGTCATTTCTCTTTCTGAACTTTAATTTCCTCATCTGTAAAATAAGAAAAATACTCCCTGCTTCTAAAGCTGTTTGCGGTTATTAAAAACACACAAAGGCCCTAGGAAACACCTGACTACAGCAGGTGTTCATTGAACAGTTCTCTATGGATTTAATCACAGAAACCCTATATGGTCATCTGAGGGACAAGTCAAATGATACCAAACACATTTTTGTTTCTAAACTAACAGACACATAAGTCAATGTTCTAATCCTTTTAAGCCTTTTCTCTCTCTCTCTCTCTTCCTCTCCCTCTCTCACACACACACACACACAAAAGCTTTATTCACTTCCACAGGCTTTTGGAAATTATGTTTCTAAGACTATTAGTTTTAACAAGTCCCCCGATTTAATTAATTACTTCTCTGTGTCTGGTATAAAATACATATACATCAATCATTGGAAAGAGCACGTAAAATGACGGTCTTGAATAAACTTTGAAAAGTTTGAAACAAATGCAAAATATACGTTATCTCTAATGCAACTCCACTGTCACCTGATACAATGAACAACTGGAAAACTCTAAATCATTTTCAAAGTCCATTTGCATACCCACTCCCATGGCTACAGAAGTGGGTACATCTCAGAATATCACCTGAATTCACCATTCCAACTGTCACATTACAGATCTGAATGTCCTTGGGGACAGGAAGACAGGAAGAGCTGAAGCCTGTGTCACCCTATTCCTTACGGACTTTGGCAGCAAACATTTTGCTGCACTGCCACACCTAAATCTTCTTTGACTTGTTGATATAACCCCAGGACGACTCTCAGAGGACACTAATTTTTGATAGACTAGACTCATTTTCAGGGAAGCTACGACCTAAAGGGTCACAGAGATGATAATTGAGAAAAATAGAAAGAAATGCAAAAAAATAAAGTGGTTTAGGTTTTACAAAGGGTGAAAACACGAAGCCTGGTTACCATCACCCATGGAGGCAGCTACTTTTGTTCTTAGAAATCATTTAACTCACTGTCCATCTAACCAGCAACAGACAAAACACACAAAAGTGGTCCGACGTACTGCTCCGTTACACACAAGCAGAGCTCGCCACGCACAGCCCTCTTAGTAGTCGATGAGCCAGGCCGCCAGCTGCCCGCAGCCAGGGTTCACTCACCATCTGCACACACTCCATCAGCGGCAGGCGCACCGCGTGGTTTCCACTCAGGGACACCACACAGGCCGGGATCTCTGGGGTCGCTTCAAGAAGGGCGATGACAGCCTCCACCCCCATGCGACTGGCCTGGAAAGGAAATTTATAGTTACCAAAGATAGCACAATGCTCTAAGTAGGGCAGCATTCTTTGCTCTAGGAGACCAACCGGTGTGCTCCCACACAGATGCAGCCTCGAGTATAAGCCTTGATACCACATTGTTCAGAAGGGCCCAAACTGCATTTTAAACTCTTCCATTTTCAACTTTCCTTCCGTTCTGTAGAACAGTCTCAATTAGATACTCATATTCCTTACCATTTCTTTTTTTCTTTTTTTTTTGTGATGGTGTACAATCCTTTAATATGCTGTTGGACTCAGTTTGCTAGTATTTTATTGAGAATTCTTGCATCTCTATTCATGAGGGATACTGGTCTGCAGTTTTCTTGTGGTATCTTTGTCTCACTTGGTATCAGGGTAACACTAGTCTCATAGAAAGAGTTAGGAAAGTGTTTTCTCCTCTTCTACTTTATAGAAGAGCTCAAGAATATCTGGTAGAATTCCTGGTGAATCTATCTGGTCCAGGACTTTTCTTTGTTGGGAGGTTGTTTTTTGTTGTTGTTGTTTTTCCCTTGCTTTTATTTTTTTATTTTTTTCTACTCCTCATTCCTCCCTCCCCCAGCCCCAGGTAACCACTAATATTCTTTGGTCTGGATGGATCTGCCAATTCTAGATACTTCATAAAAAGGGCATCATATAATGTGTCCCTTTGTGTCTGGCTTATTTCACTCAGCATAATGTTTTCAAGGCTCATCCATGTGCTGGCATGTATCAGAATTTCATTTCTGTTTATGGCTGAATAATAGTTCATTGTACAGCTATGCCACATTTTATTTATCCATTTATCTGTTGATGGACACTTGGGTTGTTTCCACTTTCTGGCTATTACTTGCCATTTACATTTAATACATCTCTCTGGTGGCAAAGTGGTTAAGAGCTCAGGCTGGTAATCAAAAGGCTGGCAGTTCGAATTCACCAGCCGCTCCTTGGAAAATCCCGTGGGACAGTTCTTTTCCATCCTATATGGTCGCTATGAGTAGAAATCAACTCGACGGCAATGAGGTTTTTTTTTTTTTGGTCTCTTTCTCAAAGAGATTACGATTCTAGTAAGAATTGGTCAAGACGAGGAGTGGAAAGGAAGGGTAGAGATACATGATGAGCAGAAAATATTTAAAAAAAAAAAAAGCTGAAAATTTGGACTCTGGATTTCTGTTGTCCCTGAGGATACATTTTTAGAAGCTAACACTTCGAGCACTGCCTTTCTGCTCTCTGGGCTGTTCTTCCTTTAGGCCCATCACCCACAACACGAGGAACATAAAACTTTTCACCTCACATGCCATGTGCTAGTGTTTACAGGGCTTTAGGCCTGGAACAGTTACATGGCAACAGTCTTGAAAGGATATTTAAAATAAAAACATGGGCCACTAGTAGCTTCAGGCATGAACCGCTCACTGTGGTCGACATAGATACTTTTTACCAGCTGGCTCTGTTCATTGTCATCAGCCTTTGTACTCTTTTTTTTTTTTTTTTTTAATTTCCAGGAATATTACTTTCCTCGAAAGACCTTGTGAAGATGTTTGATAATCTACACATTTACTTACCAAAATCCTGTCAAAAGCTGATGGAGTTCCTCCTCTTTGCACATGTCCAAGTATTGTCACTCGAGTGTCGTACCCCAGCTGCTTAACTACTAACTGTAGAAAAATATTTCCATTAGGAGATGCAGAACCACAACACAGGCATATCAAATTATATTCGGTAATAGGCACTGCACACTGAGAAACAATTTTGCTACTCTTTCTTCAGATCTAAATGAAAATATTATAATGTTTAAATTTTACTTCCTAAGGAAAGTATAACAGCTAACTGAAATTTATTTTTTAAGAGAATGCTTTTAATATCAAATAAAGCCTTTTTCTCCCATGTAGCAAATGAACATTAGTAAGACGACTAAAAGAAAACTATTTCTATAGCTTATAGTTAAAGTGTTACTAATACTCTATAAATATATCTCTGGAATCACCTTAAATTTGTATAGCTGTGATTTGAAGGGTGTGGTCTAGTAAAACCCAGGTGTTCTGCCTCAGTCCTGAGCCTTCCTGAATACCAGCTGGCTGACAGGACAGAGCACCTAACTTCTCTAGCACCCGGTTCACCCCTCGTATAAAAACAGTGGGCTTGAACCACGAATTCTATTGTGCCTTCTTGGTCTAATATCGCATGGCTTAATCTGGACTCCAATGAAGTGGGAAAGAAAATCCTGCCTTGGTTTTATTGATTACTTCTTGGCAGGTATCTTCTTGGCAGACATCTTACTGGCAGATATCTTTCAATGTTTTAATATTCAAGCCATCAGCTGGTACTGGAATACATAAAATACATGTTTTTGCTCAACAGCTGACCGTGACTAAACATAACAGAGAAAGCAACATGCAAAGCCAAGCTGACAGCTCTTTTGCCCTGGCCTGCAGCTTCAACCAGAGTCTGTCCTGCTCTTCAAGTGTCTAGTGCCTCAGTGTGTCTAGTCCCCTCTGCAATCAGGGAGAGTTGGCCGGATAACACTAACAGTCCTGTCTAGACGAGCACGCGCCAGTCGGAGTGAGTCTTTCAGCAACAAAAACCTATTGTCTGTTCTCACTTCAGGACCATGAGTAAGGCAATGATTCAGTAACACAGTGGCTTTCTTTGTTGTAACAATATGCTCAGCTGATGCTCCAGTTCAAAAGGATGGAAATAGGGCAGATGCCACCTTTTTTACTGCCACAAATAGAGACTCCTGGGGCCCAGCAGCCAGAGGGTTAATCCTCCTCGTTCTCAGAGCAGTAGATATTTAAGAGCTAGAACTTTCTATTACAAAGAACACAACTCGCTATTCTACTGTGTTTCCTCTATTTTTGTCGGGGGAGCTCATGTAGCCCTTAGGAATATTACCAACAGAAGGCAGGAAGCCTTGACTCTCCAGAAGTCTGCAGCTATATGTTTCTCATTCCACTAATGTGATGATTCATTAGGAAGATATGTTTAAATATCAAGAAGAATTTTTTTTTAAAAATAATGCAATATTCTAAACCAAAATCCTGTCAATAGTGTTAATATCTCATATTTCCAGGTAGGTAACAGAGGAAAAGTAAGAAATTATATACACTTACATCCTTGATTTTCTCAGATGTAATAGGTTTATTTTGGGAATCAATAGCTCCTTCAGCCACAATGATAATGTTCAGCCTTTTCTTTCGAGCACGGTTCTAAGGAAACAGAAAATCAAAATCCTCAAATTCTTAAACCATTCTTTAAAACCAGGGCTTTTAACTGAATCTTCCGGGTTCAGTCATGGCCTAGTAAGCAAAACCGGAACAGACCTGAATTTTTAAAATTTGGGTGAACCTGAATGATAACCAGAACAGGAAAAATTACAGGTGGAAGCCCTGCTAGAAACCTATCTCCCTCAGAAAACAAGGGCAGCGTACGCATTGCATAGCAACCAAATCTCTTGCCCATGGGATTCTAAGTTGTTGTTAGTTGCCATTGGTTGATTCTGACTCATGGTGACCCCATGTGTGCAGAGTATAACTGCTCCATAGGGTTTTCTTGGCTGTAGTCTTTATGGAAGCAGATCACCTGGCCTACTCTTTTGCAGTAATGCTGGGTAGGTTCAAGCCACCAGCCTTTAGGTTAGCAGTTGAGCACGAACAATTTGTGCCACTCAGGGACTTTAACTTCACAACTAGTACCCCCAATAATATGAGATGAAAGTAAAAAGTACTTTTGGGTAAGTAGACGGGATGCGGAATGAGGGATGAGTATAGGGAGGGTAAGGATTACTGGACAGAGTAAATGGAAAAGGTCTGTGGATATCTGGTAGATTACATTATACTACAAACAACAGATTAAAAATCAATACCCTAATCAGCTCTGGGGGGTGAAGGGTATGCTTATGTGGTTTTTGACAATGATCCACAGGATAGGAGTGAACACAAGACCAGAATTTTCCCGTTAAGTCTCTACAAGCAAACCACACTTCTAATCTCCTTACAAAGCCAGAGGTTCTTGTCATCTTTCCCTATATCCTTCCCACCAACTCACTAATATTTTTAGGCCAAGAATTCTCTGCAATTACTATTACACCCCAACTGACTCTATTAAGGTAATATTACATACCGACATGGGAAGAAGACAGATGGGACACAAAAAAGGAAATGGGAAAGAATACAAAGACCAGAACAGAGGTGTTTAGGCAGCGGTCACTGAACATTAACAGCCAGATGCTCACTGCTGAAATACTTGTGGTTGCTGCTGCTACACTACCATGCATATGTACAGCAGTTGTTTAGCTATACGTTAAAATGAACACAGCAACCATGTTCTGTAATGGAAATTTAGTCATTCTCAGTTGATGTGTTTTTGTTTTTGTTTTTTTAATAAAGTCCCAAATGAAAGAACCTCCTACAAAAATTTTGAAGGTAATTGTGTGGACCAGTGAATCCTAGTGTCAGTAGTGACTTGAGCTTGCCCCAGGCTCAGGGTCATATAATACAAACACGTAAGCTTTTGGAGATGCTCTGGGGCCTCGTTTCCCAAGTCAATTTTTCTGGCTAATATTTTAAAAAATTCTTGCAGTGTTAGATTAATGATCAATACAAATAAATTACAGATATAACAATATCAAGTATTTTCACATATTATTGTTATTGTTGTTAGGTGCCATTGAGTCTATTTTCGACTCATAGTGACCCCATGTGACAGAGTTCTGCCCTATCGGATTTCTTAGGCTATAATCCTTTACAGGAGCAGATCGCCAGGTCTCTCTCTCACACAGCCACTGGAGGGGTTCAAACCACCAACCTTTCATATAAAAACAAAAAATTAAACCCACTGCCATCAAATCAATTTCAATTCAGAGCAATCCTATAGGAGAGAGCAGAGCTGCCCTATAGGGTTTCCAAGACTATAAATCTTTATGGAAGCAGACTGCCACGTCTTTCTCCCATGGAGAGGCTGGTAGGTTTGAACCACTGACCTTTTGGTTAGCATCTGAGTGCTTTAACCACAGTGCCACCAGGGCTCCTTCCTTTCACATATAAGTTAGTACAAATCATCAGTCCTAACTCTGTCAACATTTGAAGGGGCGGACCTCAACATTTCCTTTCTCCTTCTCATTTCTGACATTGCAGTATATAAAGTCTACAATCTACAAGGATTTGCAGGTAAGACTATACATACATACATGTACATGTGCGCGTGCACACACAGTGTGTTTTAGATGTTTCTCTGTTGCAATACACTTTGCAAGATTAGCAAGTAGATAGATACATGAATAGTCAACATATGAAGATCATATGAAACACAAACTTGAATTCATTTTAGAATCAGAAAACTTGTTTCAAACCATCCAAATTGAAAATTCTAAAAGCCATTAAAAATCATGATTAAAGCTCAGTGAAGGACAACACATCCAGAAAAAAAGCTCAATAAAGTAAAGACATGGAAGATCTAAATGCCACAATCAACCAACTTGATCTCATAGACATATACAGAACATTCCACCCAACAGCAGCCAAGTACACATTCTATTCCAACGCACATGGAATATTCTCCAGAATAGACCACATACTAGGCTGCAAAGCAAGCCTTAACAAAATCCAAAACATAGAAATATTACAAAGTATCTTTTCTGACCATAAAGCCACAAAAGTAGAAATCAGTTAACAGAAAAAGCAAGGAAAAGAAATTAAATACATGGAAACTGAACAACAGCTTGCTCAAAAACTACTGGGTTACAGAAGAACTCAAGGATGGACTAAAGAAATTCACAAAATCAAATGAGAATGAAAACATATCCTACCAGAACCTTTGGGACACAGCAAAAGCAGTGCTCAGAAGTCAGTTTATAGCAATAAACTCACATATCCAAAAAGAAGGGCCAAAATTAAAACATTAATCCTAAAACTCCAACAGACAGAGAGCAGCAAAAGAAGCCCTCAGGCACCAGAAGAAAGGAAACAATAAAAATTAGAGCAGAAATAAATGAAATAGAGAATAGAAAAACAATTGAAAGAGTTAACAAGACCAAAAGCTGGTTCTTTCAAAAGATCAACAAAATCAATAAACTACTCGCCAAACTGACAAAACAAAAACAGGAGAGGAAGCAAATAACCTGAACAAGAAATGAGATGGGTGATATTACAACAGACCCAAATGAAATTAAAAGAATCATAACAGCATACTATGATAAACTGTACTCCAACAAATTTGAAAACCTAGAGGAAATGAGCAAATTTCTAGAAACACACTACTGACCTAAACTAACATAAACAGAGGTAGAACAACTAAATAAACCTATAACAAAAGCAGAGATTGAAGAGGTAATTTAAAAAACTCCCAACAAAAAAAAAAAAGCCCTGGCCCTGACGTCATCACTGGAGAATTCTACTAAACTTTCAGAGAAGAGTTAACACCACTACTACTAAAGGTATTTCAGAGCAAAGAAAAAGATGGAATACTCCCAAATTCATTCTATGAAGCCAGCATAACCCTGACACCAAAACCAGGAAAAGACACCACAGAAAAAGAAAACTACAGACCAATATCCCCCATAAACATAGACACAAAAATCCTCAAAAAATTCTAGCCAATAGAATTCAACAACATACCAAAAAAATAATTCACCATGATCAAGTGGAATTCATAACCAGGTATGCAGCGATGGTTCAACATTAGAAAAACAATCAATGTAATCCATCACATAAATAAAACAAAAGAACCACATGATCTTATCAATTGATGCATAAAAGGGATTTGACAAAGTCTAACACTCATTCACGACAAAAACTCTCAGCAAAATAGGAATAGATGGGAAATTCCTCAACATAATTAAGGGCATTTATACAAAGCCAACAGCCAACATCATACTAAATGGAGACACTCTGAAAGCATTCTCCTTGAGAACGGGAACCTGACAAGGGTGTTCTTTGTCACCACTCTTATTCAACATTGTGTTGGAGGTCCTAGCCAGAGCAATAAGGCAAGAAAAAGAAATAAAAGGCATCCAAATTGGTCGGGAAGAAGTAAAAGTATCTGTATTTGCGGGTGATATGATCTTAAACACAGAAAACCCCAAAGAATCCACAAGAAAACTACTAGAACTAATAGAAGATTTCAGCAAAGTATCAGGATATAAGATAAACACACAAAATCAGTTGGATTCCTCTATACCAACAAAGAGAACTTCGAAGAGGAAATCACCAATCAATACCATTTACAATAGCCCCCAAGAAGATAAAATACTTAGGAATAAATCTTACCAGACATAAAAGAGCTATACAAAGAACTACAAGACACTACTGCCAAGAAACCAAACGAGACCTACATAAGTGGGAAAACATACCTTGCTCATGGACAGGAAGATGCAACATTGTGAAAACGTCACTTCTACCCAAAGTGATCTACAGATACCATGCAATCCCAATCTAAATTCCAATGGCATTTTTTAAAGAGATGGAGAAACAAATCGCCAGCTTCATATGGAAAGGGAAGAGGTCCTGGATAAGTAAAGCATTATTGAAGAAGAATAAAGCACGAGGCCTTACATTACCTGATTTCAGAACCTATTATAGCGCCACAGTAGTCAAAACAGCCTGGTACTGGTACAACAACAGATACACAGATAAATGGAATAGAATTGAGAATCCAGACATAAATTCATCTGCCTATGAGCAGCTGATATTTGACAAAGGCCCAAAGTCCATTAAATAGAGAAAAGACAGACTATTTAACAAATGGTGCTGGCATAACTGGATATCCATCTGCAAAAAAATGAAACAAGACGCATATCTCACACCATGTACAAAAACTAACTCAAAATGGATCAAAGACCTAAATATAAAATCTAAAACGATAAAGATTATGGAAGAAAAAACAGGGACAACGCTAGGAACCCTAATTCATGGCGTAAACAGAATACAAACCATAACTAACAATGCACAAACACCAGAAGAGAAACTAGATAACTGGGAGCCCCTAAAAATTAAATACATACGCTCGTCAAAAGACTTCACCAAAAGAGTAAAAAGACAACCCACAGATTAGGAAAAAATTTTTGGCTGCGACATATCTGATCAGGGTCTAATCTCTAAAACCTACAAGATACTGCAACACTTCAACAACCAAAAGACAAATAACCCAATTAAAAAATGGGCAAAGGATATGAACCAGCACTTCACCAAAGAAGACATTCAGGAGGCTAACACATACATGAGGAAATGCTCACAATCATTAGCCATTACAGAAATGCAAATCAAAACTACAATGAGATACCATCTCACCTCAGCAAGGCTAGCATTAATCTCAACAACACAAAATAATAAATGTTGGAGAGGTTGTGGAGAGACTGGAACACTTATACACTGTTGGTGGGAATGTAAAATGCTATAACCACTTTCGAAATCAATTTGGCACTTCCCTGAAAAGCTAGAAATAGAAGTACCACTGGATCCAGCAATCTCACTTCTTGGAATATATCCTAGAGAAATAAGAGCCATCACACGAATAGATATATGCACACCCATTTTCATTGCAGCACTGTTCACCATAGCAAAAAGATGGAAACAACTTAGGTGCCTATCAACAGACAAATGGATAAACAAATTACGGTGTATTCACACAATGGAATACTACGTAACGATAAAGAACAATGATGAATCCAGAAACATCTCACAACATGGATGAATCTGGAAGGCATTATACTGAGTGAAATTAGTCAGTCGCAAAAGGACAAATATTGTGTGAGACCACTATTTTAAGAACTCAAGAAAAGGTTTAAACACAGAAGAAAACATTCTTTGATGGCTGGGGAGGGAGGAAGAGGGGAATTCACTAACTAGATAGTAGACAAGAATTATCTTAGGTGAAGGGAAGGACAGCAGGCAATACAAGGGAAGTCAGCACAACTGGGCTAAACCAAAAAAGAAGTTTCCTGAACACAACCAAACACTTCAAGGGACAGAATAGCAGGGGCAGGGGTATGGGGACCATGGTTTCAGGGGACATCTAGGTCAATTGGTATAACAAAGTTTATCAAGAAAATGTTCTACACCCCACTTTGGTGTGTGGCGTCTGGGGTCTTAAAGGCTTGTAAGCAGCCATCTAAGATGCATCAATTGGTCCCAACCCACCTGGACAAAGAAGAATGAAGAACAGCAAAGACCAAGGAAAATATTAGCCCAAGAGACAAAAGGGCCACATAAACCAGAGACTCCATCAGCCTGAGACCAGAAGAACTAAATGGTGCCCAGCTACGACCAATGACTGCCCTGACAGGGAACACAACAGTGAGTCCCTGACGGAGCAGGAGAAAAGAATGGTGCAGAACTCAAATTCATGTAAAAAGACCAAACTTAATGGTCTGACTGAGACTAGAGGAACCCCAGAAGACACGGCCCCCAGATGCTCTGTTAACCCAGAACTAAAACCCTTCCCGAAGCCAACTCTTCAGACAAAGATTAGACTGGACTATAACACATAAAATAATAATTGTGAAGAGCAGATACAGGAGACTAAATGGGCAGCTCCTGTCCAGAGGCAGGATCAGAAGGCAGAAAGGGATAGGAGCTGGGTGAATGGACACGGGAAACCCAGGGTGGAAAGGGGGATGTGCTGTCACAGTATAGGGATTGCAACTAGGGTCACATAATAATATATGTATAAATTTTTGTATGAGAAATTAACTTGAGCTGTAAACTTTCAGCAAATGCACAATTTAAAAAAAAAAAAAATCATGATGAAAGCAATCCAGTTAGAATAATTTGTAATAAGTAGAAGTAAGATGGGAAATTACCTCTGAGAGTTTAACGCACATATTTTCCTCCCAGCGTTCTTCTGGGGGGGATTCAGGAAGAAATACCCAGTCTGCACCACAGGCCAAGGCACTAACCAGGGCTAGATATCTATTTGGAAATAACAAGAAAGATCAATAAATCGAGGATCCACCTTCTTGTATGTTTACTGTTGGGAACCCAAAGCTTAGATTTCAGCAGAAATAACACTGGATTATGCATCAGAAAACTTGGGTTCATGTTCTGGATCCCGCATGAATTCTCCACGAGAACATCAACAATTTGGAAGTAGAGGGCTCAGGAGGAGATGATTGCTAAGTTTACTTTCATTCTGAAACGCTTCAGCAAATACATACCCACAGTGTCTCCCCATAACCTCCAGAACAAAGGTCCTCTGGTGGCTGGAAAATAAGACACAAGGTAGCATACACTTACTAACGTTGTGACCAGCATAAAAAAGCAAAGAGAAACATACTTTGACAGCCAAGTTAGACAGTAACATTATTTCATAATTATGGCAGGTAGTTAAACTTCCAAAAAATGATCCATTTTCTACAAAAGCAGATGTTATTCAAATAGCCACTTCAAACTTTGTGAGTAAAGGGGCCTCAGCAGCGAGTGCACTTCTAGGTACAGATTTTACAATATGTATTTGCTTGTGCTTTAAGACATAATAGATACTGACAGGACACCTTTTCTACACTCTTTCTGAGGCAATGACTATATTGGGCAAAGCCAGCTACCTCTCATGTTAAGAACAACGGGCTGGATGTAACCAACAGCAAACGTGTGAGTAGAAAGTCAACTCAGTCATTTTCCAACAACTGTGTCTTTCCATGGAACAGAAAAATCTAACTACTATAAGCAATCCTTCAAACACTAACAAAATCACGTGGTTTCCGATGGCATTTCAGGAGGGCCACGTAGTTTGTATGTTATTGGGCTGAAGTAGTCCAATGAAGCACTATTGTGGAATGGGAAAAATAAACAAAGAAATCAAGAGATCTTACAATCTGGGTACCTTCCAAGTCTCAAGTTCCTTATCAATACAATGTGAGACATTTGCTCTATTTACTATTTCACACAGATTTTTGAAAAGTACTTTAAAAACTCCAGAATACTACACAGGTGTCCCTGGTTGATGCAAACAATTAATGTACTTGACTGATAACCAAAAGGTTAGAGATTCAAGTCCACCCAAAGATGCCCTGGAAGAAAGGCCTGGTGATTCACTTCTGAAAAATCAGCCATTGAAAACCCTATGGAGCAGAGTTCTACTCTGACACACATGGGGTTGCCAAGAGTTGGAATCAGCTCGACAGCAAGTGGTTTTGGTGATGGTTTTGTCACAAATCTGTATCACCTTTGATAAAATTCAACTGATTTATCTACATTTTTGTAAATCTATAGGTTAGAAATATAACAATAAGGAAATGCTTACACACATTCCCAATAAGTACCCATCCCATTGCCGTGGAATCAACTCAGACTCCTAGCAATCCTACAGGATAGAGCAGACCTGCCCTATAGGGTTTCCAAGGTAGAAATCTTTACAGAAGCAGATTGCCACATCTTTTTCCCACAGGGTGGCTGGTGGGTTCGAACCACCAACCATTCAGTTAGCAGTCATGCACTTAACCACTGTGCCACCATAGTTTCTACTTTTTGTTACTGCTTCAGGAGACCTTTGGGCAAGACTTTAGATAATAAGTATTTTGTTTTCTTCTGCTTTTCAATTTTTCTCCAATGAACAGGTTTTACTCTTATGATCAGAAAAAAATGCAAGTCTTAAAATTAAAAATAAAAAAATAAACCTGAGAACAATTTTCTTGTAATGGTTTCTAATACTCAAATTACAAGATCTGTACCAGAATACTCATCTGTGGAACATTCTAAAATTTTGGAAGTTGAGCCAATAGATTTAAGCCTTAGCACATCACTTGCCCATGTCTACTTCCCGCTGACTTTTCTAAGTCCCTTCACCTCTGCGCCGTGGTCATGATGGCATCAACAACTTCAATAATCCTGTGCAGAGCTGAGTCCGTGCCGATGGTCATGTCTGTCCCACAGAAGTCGTTGTCGATGGAGCCCACCATGCCCACAATGTTGAGGTACGCATACTTCTTCACAGCATCTGAATCAATCTTGCCTGCATTGAAAGACAAAACTATTAATAATGCACTTCATGACTGGTAATAGTCACTGCTTCTATGGGCCAACAACTAGGACTGAAAACAATGAACAGTGGTAAACAATATCAATTATTCTAAATTATTTTTCTAATTGTTATTTGCTATTTTATTTTCTTGGAATTATATACAATGTAATTCTGTATATTTAAGGAAATAAAAGACAGACAAAGGTGAAAGTAATCACATAAAATATGAGATGTAATTTGATACTTGGACAAGAATACTTAATTTTAGGCAGGAAGAAAGACAGTGAGGGAGGGAGGGAAGACGAAATGGATCCACAGGTTGCAATCCATGGATAAGATCGGAATTTTATCTGGCAGCAACTTCACAGAACGTCATGCCTCTGGATAGGGATATGTTACAATTATAGAATTAAATACTTAAGAATATCATATAATCTTAATATTTGATTTCTTACAGAACCATGGGAGCTAGTTAGTCAGTAAGTGTCTACTTAGCACTCAGACGAAATACAGACCGGAATTGGGCAGGTCTGCATATATTAAATTAGAATAAGCAAATGATCAAATCAAAAGTGGGAGTGAACCTTAGGTCTGGAACTCATGATGACTATTCCACGTCCATGGTACCAACGAACCCACGTTGGCCCAGAAGAAGACGGACAAGAAAATACTGTTACGCCCTTGCTGGTTACAATTTGACAGCCATTCTTCATTCCCTAAATATGTTTTACAAAATTTGGGGATAACTGTTTTATTTCAAGTTTCAGTTGTTCATAAATTTGCTATTAGTACAAACAAGACACTTTCATGGGTCATATTTTATAATGACAACTTTAAAAGATTAAAAACTATGGTACACATAGGAATCTTAGAAATCCTTACGTAGTTTCAAAGATGATACAGTATGGCATAACGGCAGACAATTATCATCTAAATTAAAGTCCTGTAACAACTTAAGCTTAAAGACACTAGTGTGCTGGAAATATATAGTATAAAGACTAAAGGTGCAGACTGGAGTTCCACTGCTCATGAGAATCCTGGCTCAACTCTTAGAGTTGTGTGACTTCAGCCAGGGCCTCTAATTCCTCATTTGTAAAATGGGGATAAATAAAAAAGCCATCTCAGACAGCTGCTGTGCGGATTACATAAAATTATCTACATAAAGGGTTAGAAAAGTGTCTGGCACACAGTAAGGTTAAATGCATATTATTCTCATTCTCATTATTATCGTTATTTAGGCACAAACTTAAGTCTTGAGGTGGTGAATTGTAAGATCTGCAGTGATAACAAAAACAACCACCACCACAAATACTTCTGCTATGGATAAAAGAAAAAAATATATGAATTCAAAAGCTCTCTGAAGGCAAGGGAAGAGAAATGAAAGCAAACAGAAAATAACGAGACCATCACTGCTAAAGCAGAAATGTACCACTTTGGGCCAACTCTTCCAGCAGTCCACTCCATTCCTCCCGGAAGATATTGGCCCCTGTTAAGCTTCCATCCCCACCAATCACACACAGATTCGTAATTCCCAGCTGAATCAAGTTATGGGCAGCTTTTAAGCGACCTTCCCGAGTACGAAATGCTTGGCAACGTGCACTGCCGATGATTGTCCCTCCCTAGAAAAGAAACAAAATTATGTTTATTTAACACTTTCAATTTAGACAGACAGCTAGACAGATTAGCACCTGCCACTGCTGATCTATAGACACAGGGCTTTCAAAATTAGGTTTTCCTCATTTTAATTTTTGTATTAGTCAACTACAAAAGTTTGTGGTTTTCCCATTTTTAGTCCCATACCAGAATTCTACAGACGAAGACACATACATCATGCTCAGTGGTAGACAAACAGGGTATAGAAACACAAACAAATGGGAGTCATTAGATAAATATGCAGAGTACAAGAGTCTGTAAAATTACAAAAGCAATCCAGAAAGCCACCTCTGGTGACACTGTACCAACACTCGATGGACTCATCATATGCACATTGAAGCCAAAGTCTAGTCCCACCACTGCTCATGACCCTTTGCAACTTGTCCACCAAGCCATCCTGTGTCACCTTGTTGCTGTGTGCTAGCGAGTCGATTCTGACTCACAGCGACCCTATATGACAGAAGAGAACTGCCTCATAGGGTTTCCTTGCCTATAATCTCTGGGAGCATATTGCCAGATCTTTTCTCCCACAGAGCCTCTGGGTGGATTTCGAACCGCCAACCTTTTGGTTAGCAGTCAAGCGCTTAACAATTGCACCATCAGGGCTCCTTCTCCTTTTACTGGTCAGACCTTGTTGCATTTTCAGGCAAAGTGAATAACAACTGTGAGGCAAAGGAATTTATTTTTATACTATACCTCCCACCCTTCTTAAAAGGATAAATCTTAGGAAAACTTAAATTTGATAGTCCAAACATTCTGGAAAGATAAATTATGATTTTTCACACTTACTTTTTTAAAAATTAAGAATTCTTTGTTTTATTTAGAAAAATGCAGGATTCCTTTAATTAAGTGATGAATAATATGTCTATAATGCATTCATACATCTTCAATTTGTACTTAGTCCTTATAAATACTGTTGTTTCTGTGTTGAAGACAGACCTCTACTGAGGGTAAATCTGTTGCCACAGAGACAATTCCGACTCATGGTGACCCCATGTGCTAGAGTAGGACTGCTCCATGGGGTTTTCTTGGCTGTAATCTTTGCAAAAGCAGGTGATCAGGCCTTTTTTCTGCATAGACCCTGGGTGGATATGAACCACCGATCTTCAGGATAGCAGCTGATCGCAAAGCACTTGTGCCTCCAGGGCTCCTTCTTTGGAGACATAACTTACTGAAAAGCCTTTATTTATACGGTTTATGTGACACTATCTGTTTACATACATACAAATAGTACACCCATATAACTAATATTGATTTATGGATATTTATTTCAAATCAAGAAAATCCATGTGTTTTCACATGAAAATTACCACCATTTAATTGGTCAGAGCATTAAAAGAGGTTACAGATACAAACTGAAACTTAATCAGTACTATTTTTACTAATACATTACTAAACGAGATCCTGTGTTAATGGAAATATAAGCAAGAATGACTTGGCCCAGCAAAGGGTAGGGTAGAAAGTGCAGGGCACAAGGCAGAGATAAGCTTTTTCTTGGAACCTTGATTTGAGAACAGTCATTAGTGAGTCACGTGTTTATAACAACTTGAAGTTAAGCCAGCAATTCAAAAGTGCCAAAACTGAGTAGGTAACATGGGCAGAGACTCAGGAATAAAACCATGAATAACTAAATTACAAAGAAGAAGGCACCTTTCACACACACACACAAAGAGTAGTCACTGGTCTACTTCCTATCACAATTACAATACCCAAGCCAGCTGCCCTCAAGTTGATTCTGACTCATGGCGACCCCAAGTGTTATAGAGTAAAACTGCTCCACAGAGTTTTCTTGGCTGTAATCTTCATGAAAACAGACTGCCAGACCTTTCTTTCTTCTGCAGTGCCACTGGGTGGGTCTGAACTGCCACCTTTGGACTAGCTGGTAAACACAAACCATTTGCACCACCCAGGGACCTTACAATAGCAGAATAGAAATGCTCTTTTTATATGCTCTCTGGTATTGGGACAATACTGTCTGATTTTTCAAATACTGCTCTACCTAATGATTGATGGCTGTCAAAATTCCCTTCAACCTCTATGCAGGGATGATGAGAAGTACAGGGAGAGCAGAACGAAGGAGGTCCAAGTGCCAACTGGAGGTCTGTGCCAGCATTAAAATGAACACCCCACCAGTATCTTCAGGGTGAATGTACCCATTTGGTTCCTTTCTATTTAGTACTCAAAATAAGCCAAAGATTAATAAATACTTTTCAAAAGATTAAACCACAAGCATAAGAGCTTTTTCATGAAATCCATTATTTCCACATAGTCTATTTCTCAACTGATTTGGGCTGTTCACTAAAGTGCTCCGGGAATTTATTAAGCATAAAATACTTTGACAGGTTTCTTTTGAATTAAAAGCAAGCAACTATTTTGCCTGAGGTGATAATTACCCCATCTGTTGTGCACACCAAGAAAATTAGCCCTGTCTGATTCAAATCAGAACAGGGATGCTGTGTTCCTAATAAACCCACAGCCCTGGTGGCTGCCAGTCTGAGTCATTCTCAGACTTTATTATACTTAATGTTAGTGGCACACACAAATCCCAAAGGGCACAGAGATTTGCAACTGAACACATAGTACCAACAAATGAAAGTAACCTCAACACTAATCTAGTCTTAAAAAAAAAAAAAAAGCCACAAGTACCACGATTAACATTAGATGTGACATATAACTTTTATTGCAAGGATAATTCTAGAGTTTGTGTCATGTAAAGCTTTTCCTTCTAATTAAATGATGAATTAAAGGTGTTCTCTTTCTGTGCAAGTAGCTCAGAATAATGCCAGTGAGCACATTAATCTGCTTTAAGTATTACTGAAGCATAAGTATTAAAGGTTTCAAACTAGCAGAGTTACTTATTTACTTAATTACTTAGAGAAATTAATAATATGAAGACATAGCACGTACTATTTGTAGAATGCTGGAGACGCTTTCCCATGAGGCTTCAACAATATTAGAACCTCCATCTACCATACCTTGGTAACCCTAGTAAAAGAAAAAAAAAATTTTTAAGTAGGTTAAACTTTTTTTTAACATTAATTGATGCTTAAATCATATGAAATGGAAATACAAATTATAGTGAATTTAAGTTTCTTAGAGTCTAATGGTGATAAGACACAGTGTGACATACCTGTTAGTCAAAAGTATAAATTGTAGTAAAGTCTCTTAAATTTAATACCAAATAATGAGAATTCTAGCCTAGGCCCATCCAAAGAGTACTGTATAAAGTGGTTTGCCTATTGCCTAATGGCTCCTAAGTGACTGAAAAGGGACATATTTACCCTAAGCTGTGCATAATTCAGCACGAACTCATATGCAAACATCACTGTCAATTACAATGCATTCATAAAAGCTTTCCTATCCAGGCCTCTCTTTGGTACGGCAATCCATGATACTTTAGATCTATAAAGACACATATTTTTTAAAAAAAAGCACAGCTAAATATTACTCCAATAATTCCATCTGCCTTACCTTCCAATTAGTGGCATTTTACCATACTGAGGTGAGACTTTTAGTGAATTAGGATATCAGTACACACTTTCTCCTGGATACTTAAGGATGCTTGTTGTCTTTCAACTCTAAAGGCATCTTTCTTTTCTCCATGGAATATACAAGACCAAGAAATATAGAAATGCCCCATGTGCATCTTTATCTATGTGATGACTCATTTTCCAGAGCCTTACCTTAAAAAGGAATAGCCATTAAACGTTTAGAAAATTTTATAACAATAGATTATTATTGTGGATTCATATTCCCTATCTAGTGCAGGGCAAGAGGCAAGAAAAATTAAGTTTTTGTTTGTTTGTTTGTTTTAAACAAAATGGCCCATCGAGTATGGCACCTTGCGTATAAATTAACCATACAGTGCCAGCACCCTTACAGTTGATTAATTTGTATACTCATATTTATAAATGTAAAATTTCCATAAAAAATATAATATATATATGTGTATATATATATACACACACACACAAACATATACATAAGTGTGTCTGTATGCATGTATATGTATGCGTGTCAAATCTAGTGGCAAATAGGAAAGGAAAAAACAGTACGGAATGAAAAGACCAAGGAAAAGTTAAGAAGGGCTAGTTCTAATACTGGCAAGAGTTATTCACACATCTGCACTTTACCTGAGGATCCCAAGTCCCCAGCCCACTCCTTTATCTATGTTTTCTCCCAGCCCTTAAGCAGACAGGCATAAGGACTGCCCCTAACTGGCCTAAGGTCTTCAAGGGGAAGAAGCGGAACTATTAAACACACCTCTATCTACCTCTAAGGTTCATTTGTTTTGTCTTTTTATCAACATCTCCTTTCTTTCCCAAAACCTTACACGGTGTATATTTTCACCTGATTCCATTTAACGTTTAGAACTGGGTGTAGGTGTCACCATGGAGGGAGAGGGTAATGAGCAAGAGTGTGAGCTGCTCCAGACCTTACCTTTGGAAAGGCCCTGCTTATCAGGGGCATGATCTCTATTGTTCCCTATTGTGTGAACTGTATACACAAGCAGACCCTACACTCAACACAGATATCCTGCTGCTCTAGCACCAAATGCAAAATCACACCTTCTCATTCTAAGTAACTTCCAGGAATCTGATTTCAACAGAAAGATAGATAGACAGATAGACAGACAGCATAGAAAGGTGACTTAGCCTTCTTGTAGTTAGCTGCCATTGGGTTCTGCACCATCCCCATGATTGGTTAGGGATCAGACCATTGCGACCCATACAGTTTTCACTGGCTGATTTTCAGGAGTAGATTACCAGACCTTTCTTCCTAGTCTATCTTAGTCTGGAAGTTCCATTGAAATCTGTTCAGCAGCATTGCTGCGCATGAGGTGCATTGGCTGGGAATCGAACCCAGCTCTCCCACATGAAAGGCAAAAATTCTACCACTGAACCACTGATACCCCCATAACCTAGCCTGAGGGTTGTCCTTTTAATTATCTCTATCACTCGCAAACTCCCAAGGTTTTGTTGAGAATTACACTTCACTCTGTAGAGACAGCACAGCATGCCACTGCTAAGTTATGAGAACAATACTCCACAAACTACCATTTATGGCAATCCTGTTCCAAGTTGCAAGCCCCATATAACTGTGTGAACACGAACCCTACACAGGATAATGTTTTACCATCTCAACTCACATACTTCTGAGAACAAAAAAAATATTAATAATTAGGTCAGAACAGTAGTCATAAACCAGTACTGTTCTGGGCAAGTCAGGATATGTAGTTGCTCTAACCATAAAGCTCTGCCAAAACAAAATGAAGATCTACTAATCCCCCACACCAGTATCCCACCATGGTAATGTCTGTATATTCAACTGGTATGTAAATAAGAGACTAAGGTTCACTATGAATTGGAATCCACTAGAGGGTAACACGTTAAGGGGAAAAGAGTCATTCCCAGCCACTTCGTTGCTTAAGAGGATGAAACTGATGTTGCTAAAGTACAATTAGTCTAACTCAGGACTAAGACTCAGCTGTGCATATCTGATAGGATGAGCTTGGAGATTATTCCTAAATATCTGCTGTCATAGAAACTGCTCCTCAGTCAACAATCACATAAAATTTTACTACTTAGTATGCATACTGGAAACGGAAAGATCGCCTTTCCTTTTATGATTTCTACAAATTTAAACACTCATTTAATAAAATGTTTTTAGAAATCCCTCTGCTTCTAGAGTGATCACATAGTAAATGTCTAAAAACCACGAAGCATATTTTTAAGTGAAATGTTTTCCAAAAATAATTTGATCATTTTGTGTAGAACGGATACATGAGACAAAGAAAGTAATTAAAAAATACAAAAGGATAATTTTATCATTACTGCATTCAAAGTTCTTTTATTGCACATATATGCTCACTAGGTAGGAAGTGACTCATTCTTTAATGTGTAAAGTCATTAAGCCCATGTCACAGTGGAAAAATAACTACTAACTGCAGTTTCAAGCTCTCTTTTACTAATAGGAAAGATGTTATGAAATTAGAAAGACTAATTTTACACAAAAGTGTTGTAATTTATACATTAACATGAGGTTTTTCTATTGAAGTCTTCTCCTTAAAAGACCGAACACTTATTCCAACATAGCCGAATCCCAAAACATTTTTTAGAATTCCCTTTCAGAAGGCAAGAGACTAATTTTACACAGATGTACTATAATTTATACATAAGTTTTTTCTGTTGAAGTCATCTCCTTGGAAAGTTAAACACTTACTCTAACAGCCACAGCCCAAAACATTTTCTAAAATTTCCTTTCAGAATTTGCCTTCAGGGCCAATTTTATGACTCACACAAGGAAAAAAAAAAAAACCATAAAACCTTTAAAGCCATACTTAGGTTTTTAAACCAAAAATAATATCTGTCTTATTCCTCCTAATTCACAAGATGAACCTAACAGACTTTTAACTTGCTGCATCAACTCTACCATCAAACAGAATTTTTTTACATTGAGTCATTCGATCACATCTAAGAAATGTCACAGACTTTGAAGTCCTTTTAACTTCCTGTTTGAAACTGTTTTAAGCAATGTCAAAATAAGCACAAATATCGTCCTAATACATTACTCTGGAGACAGTATTACATTTAGAGGTAAAGTTTTGACTCGTATTTTTAGGCATTTGTTAAATCCATTCTAAACAGAGTAGGAGCTCATCCATCTGTGGGTAGCTTTCTCTTATAAGAGATCTCATATGTACTTTTTAAAATTAAAGACTCAGGGGAATGACAGCCTTGCGCTAAAGCAAAATAGGCCTTTTCTTTTAGAACGCTTATATTTAATATGCCCTCATGTCTTGATGCTTTTTTCCAATCTGATTTCCTGAATTCTTTAGACAACAATAACAGTTTGAATGGCAAACATTCCAACTACCACAGGAAAACAATCTACTGAATACAATGTACTTAAAAGGTATTTTTGAGATATTTTTATCACTTACTTCCTACTGAAGCAGTCAAATATATTCAGAGAGAGATACTGTGTCTACAAACTAGGCTGCTTAGGAGTAAATGCATTCTTTTCCTCTATAAATAAACTTTTCCCTTTATTCTTTAATAAATTAAAGAATTCATTTATAGAACTCAATATAGAGTGCTTAGAAGGGTTGAGATGTTAAGGCTCTGAACTCCTCGCAAGTTTTGGATTTGGTAAACACCACTGATGGTTTAAAACTAGGCAGCCAGAAGATTCTCTATGTCAATGATTTGCAAAGTTGAAAAATTAGAACTTTATTTTGCTCAAAGGAAATTAATAGGCAGATCCTCAGAATATATATTTCCTCCCCCCTCCCCACCCCACACACACCCAGGGCCCTGTTCAACCTTCCCAGTAGCGTTCTAAATGAATGCTCTAGTCTACAAACTTAATAGTCAGTCACCCAATAAAAACTTGCTCACTGATTTAATTACTTCACAGAAAATTCTAACATTTAGCCTAAGATTTGTCCTTGGTGAGATCCATTTGACTCTAAATTTCTAAAATAGGTTAGAACATAGCAAGTCATGTTGTATAGTTCTGTACCTGGTGCTTTGGAAAACCAGTAATACACAGACATGATTTATTTAGCCCGTTAGCATTATTACATGGGAGCCCTGGTGGTGCAGTAGTTAAGTGCTCGGCTGCTAACCGAAAGGTAGGCATTTTGAACCCACTAGCTGCTCCATGGGAGAAAGATGTGGCAGTCTGCTTCCAGAAAGATTACAGCCTTGGAAACCCTATGGGGCAGTTCTACTCTGTCCTATAGGGTTGCTACGAGTCGGAATCGACTCGACACCAATGGGTCTGGTTTTGGGTTTATCATTATTAGATTTTTTTTTTTTAAGCCAAAGCTAACAATAAACAATTCCAGGTAAAATATAAAACCAAAAGCCAGAAGAAGGAACAAGGCAAGTAATCCTTCTCTACAGTTAGAGATAAGTTCCAAAGGTCTCTGAGTACAGGCAGTTCTCTCATGGAAAGTCCTCTTTTGAAACGTATTGAGC